GGACAACCAGGCCACCATCACCATAGCCGCCACAGGATCAAGTGCTTCCATGCGACATACAGACAGGACGCAGCGCATCTCGTTCCGATGGTTGAAACAACAGTTTGAGGTGGGTCACTTTAACATGATTAATGTCGATACTGGTGAACAAGCAGCAGATATCTTTACCAAACCTTTTGTGGATAAGCCCAAGTGGACAAACGCACTTCGTCTCATCAGTCACTTCGGCTACGCGGATTCTGTTGCCGCCGCTGCAGTACGGGACTTAGACGAAGTGTCAGGGGAAACCCATGACCGTCAGCATGCAATGCCGGCTAAAGCCAACAACCAAGCAGTTGAAGGTTGCGCAGCCGATCGAGTAAAGCATAAAGACTTTTCATGGGATACCCTAGCGCAGATAACTCGTCTCCTCAAAGTTGGAGCCAGCTCCAAAACCAGAAAGGGGTTCCAGCTAGAAGACGATTCCAAAAGCATGGTGTTTGGGGCTTGGACCCACGGTGGTATGCAAGGGGTCAGTACCAATACCAAAGCCTACCCTGCAACAACACAATACGTAAATGCGTTTCTCAAGTATCATGCGCCAAAGCACACTTACTCCTCGTTCGTGATTTCCGTCAATGCATTTGCGCCCCCTCACCTTGACCCACATAATTCGCCCAACTCCCTAAACCTGACTGTCTCCTATGGCAATTTCTCCGGGGGCGAACTTTGGATCGCTGAGGAAGGCGCACCGCAACCCCAATGCGACCCTGTTGCAGTAGGACAGTGGCGTGTCAAGAAGAACGAGCAAGGAGTACGAGGACACTTGTGTGATTCCTTTGAGAAGCCCGTTTACTTTTCCCCAAAGTTGTTGCACGCAACACAGGGTTGGAAAGGCGAACGTTTCTCCCTAACAGCGTTCACCTCCCGTGGACACCCCAAACTCACCGAAACCGATATCTCTCAACTAATTTCGCTGAACTTTCCTCTACCCAAACAACAACAGGCGCTTCCTGCAACCCCTTCCAAGGACAACCGTTTCCTCGTTGAGTTTTGCTGCTCTCCTGACAGCAAATTAAGCCAGGCAAGACCAGCCTCACGAGGCTGCAACTGCATTTGTGTGACCGAGGACCTGGATGCGACCAGACCTCGCACCCTTAAGCACGTAGTTGACCAAATCACCCTCGCAGCACGTGACGAGGGGGGAGTCATAACAAAACCCAAGGTGCTTATTTTTGCGTCACTACCTTGCACGGGTGGATGTACATGGCAGAGAATCAACTCAA